ATATATACATATATACATATATACATATATACATATATACATATATACATATATACATATATACATATATACATAGATACATAGATACATATATACATATATACATATATACATATATACATATATACATATATACATATATACATATATACATATATACATATATACATATATACATATATATATACTGTAATGTGTGTGTGTGTGTGTCATGTCGTGTCACATCACATCACGTCGCATCACGTCCTGTCAGCCTTTTTGCTGCCCTCTTCTCGTTTGCTGTTGTGTTCCACCTTCACCAGGTCTGGGTGTCGAATCTGCCGTCGAACTCAACACCCGAGGTGGACCCTTTGGCCCCAAACTGTCGCGCTCGAAACAGCCCTGCTTCACGTCGAAAGATGACCCTGCCACTTGAAGATATCAACCGGTGCATACGCTGCTATTCACTCCTCTTTCTTGGCCTCACACAAAGTTTATGCAAAAAAAATGTTCAAGAAACTGCCCTCCTGGAAGCACATCTATCTCTGAGTGTCAAGCCTCTTCTCCATGAGGATCTGATGAACCACTGGTTTGGCTGGCCTCCTGCAGAATCAGCCTGACCTCGGATATCGGGTATGGGACCCACAATCATGCAAACCATCCAGTGAACACTTCAATTTGTTTTGTACATTCACAAGCTGACTGCGTCAAAATGTTCACTATGTTCGTTTCAAATGCTCCAGTTTTTGGTCAGTCAAACTTGACTCAACGTATCTTTGCTCTAAGGAAACCGCTCTGTCAGCTTCCCACTGGCGGTAGTCGAAGAACAAGTGCACCACCACCTCAGAGAGCTGCAGTGGACGGCCATGGATGCCATGGCAGCGGAAGTCATTTTGGACAGAGTCTTAGAGCCTTAGGTTTCCAACTGAGAAAGCGTAAATGCAGAAAAACAGGATCACATAGAACCTGATGGCCATGGCTCTCAAATGATATCACATGATTAGATTTATTTTTTTTTGTGCAATGCAGGCATATGTTGCTTGTTGCAAACCTGTTTCCACATTTGTGCTGAAGAAAATTCGGCTCTGAAGCCGCGGCCACCATTTTTTGAAGAGATCGAAATCTGTTGCACCTCCACCGCCAACCGAATCCTCCATGGCAAGGTTGGCGACTTCGCAACGGGTGGTGTAAAAAGTTAGATGGAAGAAAACACCTGTTGTGATTTTTGGGTAATTGAACCCTAGTGCACTTTGAATGTTGTACTATTTGAGAATGTTGTAATCCAGATGGAAAATGATTCATTTTTTTGAGGGGGTTCACATTCGAAACTACCCCAGCAGGATGGTGCCGTCTTGGGTGGCCAGAACTGCGAATGTCATGTGAAAACATGCGCACACATGTGCACTGAAAATTATGTAAATCTTGGAAATTGCAATCTAATCAACAATTTGTTGGACCTATACAAATCAACAATGGCCATCTGAGTTTTGATTTGCAAGTCAAATTTATTATGAATTTCAAACAATATAGTACCTCCTTAATTGATTTCGGTCCACCATGCTCTAAATCGTTCAATTTTGGAAAATGGTGTTTTTCAATTTCACACGATATAGTCACAATTTTGATCAAAATAATCGCCTGCAAATCTCCACGTCAGACATACAATCAATTTTCAACCCAATGTCAAACAACAATTTAACAATGCAAAACGTCTGCCACTGACGATCTTCAAAAGGAAAAATTTGAATTCATCATGTTGCATTAAGGTCACTGTCGCATTTAGACCGGGTTCAAATAAGGGGGAGAAGTTGTGCAGGGCATTCTGATATGTACAAAACACAATGCATCCGATCTGCAACCACAAATAGGTTGCACGGGTCCCATTTTTGCAACTACAAAATGCAGAGCACAATTTGATTTGAAATCGAAAACAATTCAAGATATGCACTACAAAAAACTACGCATCTAAAGCTGAAAAATAACTGAAACTCAGAAATGTTAACATGAATTTTCCCAATATATAACATTTTGTAGTTGGGTCTATTCCATCCAGAGTTCCGACCAACAT